ATCCAACACAGGAAGAGACAGACATGAACTTATGAGCAAACGAGGCACAATAATAACTGCTGACATTTATTGAATTCTCACAGTATGCAGGGCGCTGACCTGCAGCCCAACCAATCTCATGTAATGCTCTAAACATTCCTGAGGCCCCAGGCCATTTATAAGAGCCTCAGGTGAAGTCAGGTAAACCTCTGAGGGAGAGCGTGTTCCCGAGGGAACCAGGTGAGTTATGGGTAAGGAGAGTTTTCTAGGCTTGTGGAATAGCCAATGAGGAGACTCTGTAGGTTGTAAGGTAATCAAGGAGGCTCCCACACCACCTCAATCCTGGTCCTTAACTTCCTCACGCAAAGTGCAAGGACCTGCCAAGGCTTCGGGATCCCTGATTCCTCACGACCCGCAGCTCAAAAGCAGCGCCTCTTTGGGGACCCTCCAAGGTCAGACAGCCCCCACAGCCGCAGACGCCGTCTCCTCTTCCGCCTCCCAGTCTTCTAGCGGACGTGGACCTCCATCCCTCCCCCATCCCAGATCCCGCCCACCCCAGACCTGTGCCCAGTGCGCATGTGTCCCGGCGCCTTCCGCCCAGCCTAGCCCCGAAGCCCGCTGGGTTCTCAGCTGTCTCTTGGTGCTTCGGAGTTCCCTCCCGGCCTGTGAGTTTCCAGCTCACGGCCTCGTAGTTCCCACGCTGTGGCTACTGGTACTCATCGTGTATGTATGTGTGTGTGTCGGGGAGATGTGGGGGAGATGGAAAAGACCTTAGGGTCGGATTTCAGCGCTGCCTTCTACTAACTTGCTGAATGCCTTGGACAAGTTGCTTAACTCCTCTAAGTTTGGCCTTACTGGATTGTTTGCAGGATGAACGCAGACAAAGTGTGTGAAGCAATGGGCTGGGTGAGAGGTCCTGCTGAGGGGCCACTGTTGGAGTATCTTGGATGGCCCTGTCTCGTGGCTTCCGTTAGGGATCTCCCAAGGTTTCTCTCGTTTTGTTTTCTCCCTCTACCCCTTTCTTTGCTTTTCTTTCCTAGGTCTTTCAGGGTGCAGCCTCCCCTTGTGCCTCTGTCTGCCATGCTGGCTCCCACATTGCCCACTCTGGGGTCAGCAGCCAGAGCTCCCAGACCCTTGGGTTTCTGAAGAGGAATCAATGGGGGAAGGAGAGGCAGGGCGAAGCCAGTCTCAGGTAGAGGGTAAAACTGGTTGTCCTCTGGACTGTTGATTCCCTTGTTGGCTCCGACGTTTGTTCTCTGGCCTGGTCTCCCACAGCTGTGGCCTGAAAGTTGGTAAAAGGAGGATGGGTTTCTGCAGCCAGTGAGTACTAGGCCTCTGCTGCTGCTGGCCACTGAAGCCAGACTAGGCAAAACCAGCCTGGTGTTGGTTTCCCTGAGACTAAGAACACCTCTTTCCCAAGACCTGCTTCATCATTTGCAGGTCCCTGTGCAAAATTAAACTCTGGCCCCTTTTTCAAAACTTAAGAATTTTAGAATGGTGAGAGTAAAGCATGAAACTAGGTTTGAGCCCTTTGGCACATGGGGCCCTGTGTATACTCGCACAGGGCACTAATCTACCAAGCTGGACCTGCCGGCGTCCCCACCCCCATACCTTTTGTTATAATCAGGATCAGGAAATTTCTGTATATCCCTATTCTTGGGCAGATGGTGGGGGTAGAGCTAGCAAAGGCTATCGCAGCCTCAAGAAGTTTAAAAGTGCTTTGGGATGTAGAGCAGACAAGGTTACCTGGGATACTCAGCAAGGGATGAGAGGCTGCACAGTCCCAGCTCTGCCACTGCCTTCAGACCCACACTTTACCTTTTGAACCTTGGCTTTGTCACCTGTAGGATGAAGACAGCTGCCTCATGGGATGGCAGTACGAGTAGGATATGACATCACACGTATACACGGAGGCTGGGGAGCCCAAGTCACTTTGGGCTAACTGTTCAATGTCCATAGCTCAGTTTCTTAAGTCGGAGACAGCAGGGTTGTGAGAATGCTGTGATTACTACCTGTGAAGTGCTGAGAATACTTGCTACCATTTAGGCCCAGCAGATGTCAGCTATTGTCACTGTTGCCTGTGAAAAGCAATCAGAGTGTTCAGATTTAAAAGAAGTTGTGGGGTAACACTTCAAGCCTGGGAACTATAGAGGTACTCAGTTCAACGTCCCTTAGGTAGAGGCACCCAATTCGTGTGTCAACCATGGTACTTGCTACTTTATAGCTGGTGGTGGTGAGATGAGTTTGGATAACCCTGAAGGGTTAACTGAAGATTGTTGTGTACGCCTGAGAAAGATTAATTCCTAGCTGAATGGTGGTTAGCTAAGAAATGGGCTCTAGGTAGGTTTGTGTGGTGCATGCTTGTGATTCTTGCACTCTGGGAGGTTGAGGAAGATTACAAGTTTGAACCCAGCCTGGGCAATTTAGTGAGAACCTGTCTCAAGATAATGGCTCAGTGGGGATGTAGCTCCATGCAAATGCCTAAGTTCAATCTTTAATACTTCAAAAAAAGGAAAAAAAAAAAAAGCCTCCTTTCCTCTCAACTAGAGGCAAGCAATGTCCACACAAGGTAGAAGGAAAGACAGGTGCAGTGGCCTACACCTGTAATCCTGGTTACTTGGGAGGCTGAGACAGGAGGTTCAAGGCCAGCCTGAGGGGAGGTAAGTAGTAGTTATGAAAAGTGATGAATTAATTTGGTGGGAAAGGGTTCTGTATATGTGAGCTGATAGGGACATTTCCTCAGTATTTCCTGGGCCTGTTATGTGCCAAGCTGTCTAGATGCCAGGCGTGAGTGGCACAGACTCATCTCTGTCCTGTGGAATTTCTGGGCCAGGTGGGGACATGGACCTTAGAGGATGCCAGAAGACACTGGGAACATCCAGTCTAGTCTTCAGCAGTGGGAAATGACTTCCAAGAGGAAGTCACGTGTAAATTGAGGAAGGCATACTGTGCACAGGGAACAGAACAAGCAAAGGCCCAGAGATGGCAAAACTCTGTTAGCTGTCAGTGGAAAGGAGCAGGAGGTACAAAGGTGAGTGACAAAGCCTAAAGGCTTGGTAGCTCCGAGGGCCACATTTACATTTTGTCCTGAGATTGAATAAAGTTTTAAGCAAGGAAAATAAATATGTGAATCTGTCTTGCAAAAGAAATGTTCTGGCTGCCAATGTGGACATGGGTTAGACTGGAGATTGTGAGGACACTTAAAGAGTTACTGCTATAGTTAAGGCTCCAGACAGTGGTGGCTTCCACTAGTGTGAGGAGAATACCAAGAGGTTGAGGGTTTCTGAGATACTGGGGAGGGAAAATTGACTTTTTTTTTCATGGTAACATCAAAATAAGGCCACATCCATATCCATCCTCAGGGAACCATCAGACCAGCCCATCCTCTTAATACTGTCTGCTTCTGGAATATGCAGCAGAGATGGCCTTTGTAGGTTCAGGAGAGTAGGATTGGCAGGCATCTGCCAGTGTCCCTGGGGGGAGTGACAAGAGCTGCTCAGGAATTCCTAGGTGGGACTTTGACCCTCCTGGGACATGGTACTTGGGTAAGGAGCACCCACCCAATTCTCTGACAGTACTTAAGTGCTTAGAGGCTGGAAGCTAATGTGCCAAATGACAAATGCTAATCATAGGGACAAGGTGGGGGGGAAATGCCAATCACGGCTCATCTACTTGGCTACTTGGAGCAGGCACTGACTCCAAGGAGTGGAATAGAGCTTGGCCTTAGAAATGGGCTTGGTGGTGAGATCAGAAATGCCTCGGCTCGGGCGTGGTGGTGCATGCCTGTAATCCCAGCACTCTGGAGGCTGAGGCAGGAGGATCGCTTGTGAGTTTGAGACCAGCCTGGGCTACAGAGTGAGTTCCAGGTCAGCCTCAACTACGTAGTGAGACCTTGTCTCAAAAAAAAAAAAAAAAACCAAAAACAAACAAACAAAAAAAAAACGCTCATGCCTGCCTGGCAAGTCTAAGGTCCTGAGTTTGATCCCTGGTAACCCCCCCCACCAAAAAAAGCCTGACCCATTCTCAGGAGATCACTGCTGGGGTCACTTCCAGTGTTCAGAAAAGACTACTACTTTCTTGGGGCATGAATTGAGATGACTCAGTTAATCTCAACATTTAACCTGGCTGGGTGTGGCAGATCATTAAATCTCAGCTACTCAAACTGATCTCAAGTTTGAGGCCAGCCTGGGCAACCTGGTGAGATCTTGTCTCAGAAAGTTTCCCTTGAAATATACGTGGTGGTTCTAGAAGCAAGTGGTACCTTTTGACACTGAAACAACAAAAGCTAACAAGGAGACTGGACACCATAGTCTTGCTTGCTGCTTCTGATGAGAGCCATTAACCCAGTACTCGTGGCCTTGACAGCCAGCACCACCTTCCAACACACTTGCTCAAAGGCACACACACCAAAGCAGAAAGGGGTAGCTTTTGTTTTTAAAGCTTTTTTATTTAAAAACAAAAACAAAACCCAAATCAAAAATTTTCCCACTGGAGGCTATTTTTTTGTCTTTTAAAAATTTTATTACACAAATATCTCCCATATCCATGTGTCAAGAGGAAAGATGTTCTTGTTCTTTCTAAAACCAATAGTGGAGAATTTTTAGAAAACAAAACAAAGTCCAACTAGCTTCCCTCCTTCCCTGGCCCAAAATAACCCTAATGTGTCAAGTGAGATAGCGTTAAGACTCACCCCATAATGCTTACATTTAATTTAAAATTTTTAGCACAACATTGGAGATTGACTCTAAATCAGCAACAAAAAATATATATTTACAATATTTTCCCATAAAACAACACAATGAAATCCTTTAAACATAGTGACTTTAGGAGTTTTATTTATGGAGCAGTTATTTTTTAATCACCAAGTGATTTTTATATTATTTCTTCCTTTCCTTTGCGGTTTTTTGCCCCGATGCTTGGAAAGATGGAGGCAGAGGTCTGGTCCTGCAATCTGAGGAGGGCAGGCTCTCCTGGCAAGGCTGTAGCTAAGAGCAGATGCAGGAAGCTGATGGAACACCCGGGTTCCTCTGTCCCCAAACAGGTATTTCTCTCCTCCATGTGGACCAACCCTCACCTCTAAAAACCATTTTCCCCTCAGTCCCAACAAAAAGTAAAACCCAAAAAGGGCATCGGTCCATCTGCTGCCATCTTGGGCTCCCTTTTCTGCTGACCAATTTACGTGCATGGTAAAAATGCTTGTTTCCAAACCAAAAATCAAACAAAAACCAAAACCCCAAACAAACCATCAGCTTGGAAATTTCTGTGGATGAAATGTCCCAAAATCAGAGGCACTCTCCCGGCACAATCCCTGCTCTTGAAGGGGTCTCTCCACCTCCCCTTTTATAAAAAGACAACAAAACAGAACTTTATCTTTTTAGTATTTTCCACAGGAGCAACCAAAAAGCAAAACAAAACAAACAAACAAACAAAACAAAGAAACAAAAGCAGGAAGCTTATAGGTCATTAACAATAATAATAATGTTTTTGCTCAATACCCAGGGTTCTTTACAGATAAGTTCCCCTAACTGAGGCACTCTGGAATAAGTCACTGGCATTTCCTCAACATTTTAGCCCCAGACTTGCTGGGGCCTAGAGACCAATGAAGGGACAGAGGGTCATGGGAGCAGACTGCTGTTTTTAAGATACAGTCAAAAGAATCAGCAGATTGGAAGAAACAGATACAAGGCCACCTCTTAACAGGACCCAGTTTCATCTAAGAAGGTCAGTTAATGCCAGGGTCAAAGCTGGGCTAGGAGGCAAGCGGGGGGCCCTCTGCCTCTATTGCTTTGGCAGTGGCAAGGGTGCAGTTGATGTCTCTCCTTGGGGTGGCTCATACTTCAGAGCCCTGGTGCCTGGCTCTGTACCCTCCCCACTGCAGGTTTAAGAGGTGGAAAGCCTGAGACTGGGCTACAGTCAAGGGACCAGGAGGGGATGAGGCTGGAGAACAAGAAGGCAGGGCAAAGGTTGTGCTATCTCCTTACAGATGGGGAGCAGAGTGCAAATTTGCATCTATCACTTAGAAGCTCTTGCCACAGGCTGCTGCTATTGAGCATCTCCTCACACTTAAATATTGACCCAGAAGAAATTCCGACCTTTTTCTTTTCTTTTCTTTTTTTAAAGTGCAAAAAGCTCTCTGCTGCCCTAGAGAGAGGATCTTTGGACAGGCCGTTCAATGCAAAGTAAAAGGGGGCAGCTGATGGGGCTTGACAAAGGGTGGTGGAGTGGGAGACACACTCCCCTCCTTCCCTCTACACACACACACACACACACACACACAACATACTCATCCACACACAGAGGCACATGCACACCCCCTTCCACGGCTATAAGCAGAGGGCAGGTGACTGGCTTCCAAGAAGGAACCCTTGACCCTTAAAAGGCACCACCAGGTCAGTAAGCCGATGGGGCAATACACAGGCCTGGGGCGCTTGAGGGCCACACTAAACCAGAGGCCTGGAAAAGCCTGGCCCAGAGGCAGGTGGGGATTTGGCCAGTCCTCTGCTCCCCTCAGCTGGTAGGGGAGAAAGGCTACTCCCTCTGAGGACACGCATCCTGGGAAAGCCTTATTCAGGCAGGAAGGAGGACACGTGGAACAACAGGGCAGTCAGTGGGAGGCAAGAGAGGGAGAATAAGGAGATGGTGCCTGTCTCAGAATCTGCCTGGGTAGCAGTGAAATGGGCGTGTCCCTGGGGTACAGTTCTAGCTCCTCTAAAGAGCTTCAACCCCAGTTAAGTGCAACAAGGACCTCAGAGAAGACTAGTGGGAAAGTCGGGCTAGGTGGAAGGAGGTACAATGTATTACATGAATGAGCACGAATGCTGGACAGCATCAAGCTCAGGGAGAGGAAAGGATGGCAAGCACAGACATGGGTCCGAAGCTTCGGACATCAACAGCACCAGTGGGATCTGCTGGGCCTGGCATTTCTGGGGCTGCTGGCCCCTCCTGCAGGAGCTGGGAGAGTGTGACAGAGGAGAGACACGCACTGGACACCATGAGGAGAACCTGGCCATGGAGACAGGACTGCTTTCTTTCCTGGAGTCTGCTCTGAACCAGGCACTGCTGGGGCCACAGGTGGGGAGGAGGGGCCTGGGGCATGGTACAGGTAAAGGCTGCACAAATCCCCCAGATGCCCAGCCTCCTGGCAGATGAGCAAGTGAACAGGCACTGCGACAGCACAGCCTGTGATTTCCTTCCTCTCACATCAACTGCTATTCCCTTTTCCTTGGGAGGGAGAGGAGCAGGCAGGCAAACCTGGTGTTGTCCACTCTCTCTAACCCACCTGTGGGAGAAGGGCTCAGGGACAGAAGAGCAGAGAGGGAGTGTGACGCTGGCCTCAGAGCCCGTGCAGGGTCAGGGAGAGGCTCTCCACAGTGGGGAGGCTGGGGAAGATCCATTTCCTGTTCAGTTTGGGCTGGGCATGTCTTAGCTAATCTTCTGTATCAGCTTCTCATCAGACAGGCAGTAGAGGCTATTGATGGACAAGTCTGAGATGAAGTGCTCGCAGGCTTTTCGAGTAATCTGCTTGCATCCCCGAAGGTCGATCAGGGTGACATTGGCAATGCGCCGTAGGTAGATCAGGGTCTGGTCTGTCAGTTTATTGCAACCTGTAGGCAAAGTGGTCATGAGGTCAGATCACAAATGCACTGCCACAGATGCCCTCCTCTACCATTTAGTTTCCCTAGCCATCTTTCCCCAAAATGCTAAACAAAAACACTTAAGTCCTATTACTACCTGGCCCAGAGACGACTATCAACAATGACCTCTTGCTGCCTCACCCAGCACTATGAACATCAAGCACAAGAGATGACCAAACTGTAGCTGGATGGTGGCAATGCATGAGGGAACCCGGCTCAATTACTCTAGTTCTCAGCCAGTAGTTCAAATGAGTGGAAATAGTTCAATCAACAGACCCCAAATCACTGTTTAATGGCCAAGTTCTAGAAGGCCTGGGACCTCCAGGAGGTGGGGGTAACCTTTAGGGTGGAAAACAGCAGCAGCATACCTGCCATATTGAGTTCTGTGAGGGAGTAACGAGTGGAAGACCCGACAGCGGTGAGTAGATTGGAGGACTGATCTGTAAGGTGGCTGCAGTGACTAAGGTCGAGTCGAGACAGGAGGGGCATGTGGCGAATGATGAGGCGAAGTGTGGCATCTGTGATGTCAAGACCTGCCAGCCGGAAGTCAGTCATGTTCCGGAGCTTGCTGCGATTGTCCTGACCTGCACAGGCAAGAAAAACTAAATCAAAACTCTTTAATTCTCTAATACAGCTCCAAAGTTCCAGGCAGTATCAGCTACTTGCTGGCCAAGCCCCTCTGATGGGGCTAACAGAACTGCCCATGTGCAACCCTGCCTTTAGGGAGTAAGCAGCATGTTAGGGCAGTTTCTAGGAAATTAAGGTTTTTTTCTTCCCAGAGCCAGATCATGCCTCATGTGCATGGGTATGTATGGAATGCTCCTCCCCTACCCACGGCTCCATGCTTTTCTAGACTATCCTGGTAATAGCTTTTGACATTCCATCTCCAACATGAAGCTCTGTGAGACTTCCTCACCTTGTTTCCTCCAAGTCCTTAATTCTACTGACCCAGAGAATGGACTTACTCCTTCAGTTGTAGGTAACTATCTGCTTATAAATAGTATTTATACATAGTCCATTATTCTGTTGTCATTTTGCACTCTTTGACCACAGCTTCAATTCTGAGATTACCTTAGCTTTTGAGGATGAGATCTGTGGAAAGTCCAAGCTACCCCAAGACAAGCCCAGAGAAATAAGGGGCAGAGGATACCTGGCTTATCGGCTGATGGAGTCAGCAAGTCCCGAATTTGAGGGTCCTTAATTCCTACTGCCCACCGAAGATCAAGGGTCCTGAGAAGGGGGCAGCTGGAGGTGCTGAGGGCAGAGACTGCAGACCAGGAACAGCCTGCTAGGAGGAGGTCTTTTAGTCCTGCAATGAATGGAAACAAAAACATGGAATGTACTCTGCTAACCTCTTTGTAGTGTCAATTACCAGCTGACCAGAACAAAGTGAATGGATTTTTAAGCAAATGCGGAGAGGAACCATGTCCTTTCAATAATGAAGTTCAAAGATTTTTGTGGTATCTTATATCTAGCTTTGTTGTTAAACTGACTCCCCTCCTGTCTGAGACCTCAAAAAATGCCCAATGGCTTACAAGGGGCTGATCAAGGCACACCTGAATGTATTTCTCCTTTAGTGGCTGTGCTGAGGAGACCTGCAGGGCGGATAGCAGCATCTAATCCTGTTCTTTACTGTCCATTGCAGTCACTGGTCCAGGGATATCTTTGAGACCAGCAGTAAAGTAACCCCAGGGAAATCTCTTGCTAAGCAGAAAAGCAACAATAACTTGGGACTCCAAACCCAAATGGTCCTAAAGTAATTCTAAGAAGCATTAACAACAGCATAATTCATTTACCTGGCAGCCTATTGACCAGCCATGTCAGCTGCTTCTTGGAGATGTTGGTCCAACTGAGGTCAAGGCTAACTGGTTGCCTCTTGATGATGCCACTGAGAGCTTGGGGTACAATGGCCTTACACCTACTCAAGTCAATTTTTGTCCAAAGTCTCTTGTCGCAGCACCTGTGACAGAATCAGGGAGAACTAACTGTCATTAACTTGATATCCCAATCAGTGGAGCTCCCATCACAGACTGCTGGAGGCTTTTAGAAAAAGCAGAATACTTTGAGTCACTTCCCTGTATTCTTCTATAAGGAGTAACAAGGATCACACCCTGGCATTTTGTGCCTCAGCATTGACAAAAACTCCGTCCTACAGCAACCAGACACTTTACAAACCTATATATAACTTAATAGTTCACTCTGACTTCCTCTGAAGGGGTTGAGAACACAGCACAGGTGTATACATAACCCTTTCATTTATATTAAAACAGTATAGTTCTTACTGAGGGCTGGGGATTCAGCTCAGTGGTTCCACCACGTGCCTCGCAAGTGCAAGGTCCCCAGTTCAATCCCCAGTTAAAAAAAAAAACTTTTTTTCTTGCCTTCCTACTATCTGAAGGTACTTGGCCTGCTCTATTCTCTCCCTTGAGTAACAAACAGCTGCCTAAGATGCAGGGTGCTACTCTGTACCTCCACAATATGCCCTACTTTAAGCTCATTACTGCCTCAGGCCCAGAGCCTTCCCTTAGCCTTAGGTTTGTTTCTGCTCTGGTGCTAGCTTGACATTTTCTAGCCAGCCCAGTCCAGAACTGAAACAGAGAACCTACCTTTCCATTGCAACCTACAAATCCACAGGCTGTACACTACACTGTACATGCAGGCTTTCAGTTAGCACTTTATATTTTCTACCTCCAGGCTCCGTGCAGTCTGGCTGATGGGATAAGGAGATAGCACATAATGACTATCTTAGGTGCCCTAGCCTGGAAACCAAGGGCCCACTAGCTCTATAAAGAAAAGTAGTGCCAGGCATAGTGGTGCACGCCTGTAATCCCAGCACTGGGAGGCTGAGGCAGGAGGACTGCTATGAGTTCAAGACCAGCCTGGGCTACATAGTGAGTTCCAGCAACTACATAGTGAGACCCTGTCTCAAAAAACAAAACAAAACAACAACAAAAAAGTATTAAAAGAGAATCTGGGTTGGGGCCAGGAATTTAGCTCAGTGGTTCTGCTGCCTGCCTTACAAGTGCAAGGACCAGAGTTTGATCCCCAGTACCAAAAAAAAAAAAAAAAGAGAATCTGAGTTGATCACATATTAATTTTTTTCGTTTTCTTTTTGGTACTGGGGATTGAACTTGGGTCCTTGTGCTTGCAAGGCAGGCCACAGAACTGCTGAGCTAAATCCCCAGCGATCACATATTAATTCTGACTTGGGAAATAAACATGTACTGGCAGAAAATATGGTCTTTAAAGACTGACAAGATTTCACCAGTGACACATCAAACTCCTAAGGCAGGAGCAAGCTGCTGGCTACAGAGCATAGAGAAGGGGTGCTCAAGCTTGAGCAGGCTCCTGAAGGGCTCTCAAGAGTGCAGTGTTGGACCTGCCCCACAGAATCTACACTTTTTCTTTTTTTTTGGGGGGGGGTGAACTTATGATTGAATCCACGGCCTTTACACTGAGCTCCACTCCAGTCCCTTTTTATTTTGAGAAGGGTCTTGCTAAGAGTCATTAAGTTGCCCAGACTGGGCTTACAATCCTCCTGTCTTGTCTCCCTCAGTGCTGGAATTACAGGCATGTGATAACATGGAGGTTTAGAATTTGTATTTCTAACAAGTTCACAGGGAGATGCCCATGGCAAGATGCCACATGTTGAGAACTACTATAACAGGGTATGACCCAGCTGTAAGGAATATATCTTACAGCTTAAGGTAAAACCCACAATGCCGAGCAGAAAAGGTCTTTGTTCATCACCACTAAGAATTCCTCCCATTAAATGTCTGTTCAACTTGAGAAATGATCAGTCTCATGAACAAGGACAATTAAGTCTCAGGAAGCTTCACAAGTGGACCCTGCTTGATGGAGAAAGGAATCCTGGTTCAGGTTTGGGGGACTGATAGAATTAAAACTGTGGAAGATCACAAGCTTCTCAAATTCATTTTGGAGAGCATGACCACTTCTCTGAGGAGCTTTAGGTATAGCTATCTATATCATCAAAACCAGAAGATGACTAGCACATCAGAGACTTTGAATCAACATATGATGAGTTGAACTGATGACTATGTTGTGTGTTAGGATTTCTAGCCTGTAAGACTCTGAGGATTTAGCATATAGTGTACAAATCCATCTCCCAGATCATTTCCCACCCTCAAACTAGACAGCTGGGGAAACAGAGCAGAGAAATGAGGCAAAGGGTCAAACTCTTCTAATGACATCTGCAGACACAATGGACTGCCGTATCTTTAACAGGACTCAGCCAACAAATGGAGTCCACTGACTCCTTCAGATGCTAAGGTATATTCCATTATTGTATGGAAGACGTGCCACCTACTCCCACGCCCCTATTCCTGACCCCTTGTATCCCTGCTCACCATTTATACCACGTCTTGCACACTCGCATACATTCACAAAGTTCTCTGCGGCTGAGGTAGCGGAAGACAGACATCCAGACCTCCCGCTGCATCCAGCTTTCGTCTCCATCCTGAGCCCAACTGCCCCGGCCATTCAGCCTGGCTGCACCCCCCTCCTCTGCACTGTCATCTTCCTCCTCCTCCTCCTCCTCCTCTTCCTCCTCCTCTCCCCCCAGCCCCTCCTCATCCCCACGCTGGGGGGTTCGGGCTGGACAGTGCTGCACTAGCACACGAGGGGAATGGCGAAGATTGGCAGAGGAGGCCGTGATGGCCTGCAGCTTGGGCACAATGGATGTCCCGTGGAGCTCTTTGGTGGGCCTCTGTAGCGTGACAGTGAGGTACGATCCCCGGATCTTGGCTTTCTCAACTTCAGACAGCTCCTTTTTGCCGCTGGGATTGTTCTCCTTTTCCCGTACCATGGTGCGCTCTGTGGCCTGCAGCCGCAGCAACTGCCGCCGTTTGAAGCGCTCATCACGGCTGGCACTGTGGTGGTCGCTGGGGCCAGCCCCAGGGGATGACCGAGTCACCATACCCCGGGGGGAAGCTGGGTCGTGGATGAGCTGCAGCATGGAAGTGGGTGAATGGGGCGGGGGTGTAAGGGGCTCATCACAGCTCCGCAAGGGCCGCAAGACTTTGGCTTGCACAGCTTCTTCATCACTCTCTTCCATTTTCCGCTTCTGTAAAATGCACCCAGAAAAGCAATATCAGTGCTTTTTTCCAAACCCTCTAAACTGACAGAGTGAGCCTGAAAGAAGACTGGTCACTGCTGCCAGACAAGTTCATTTCCTTAGAGCCTGCAATTTAGACTCTGCAAAGATGGGCAACTGAGCTCATGCCTGTACCAGAGAACACTGATTATGGGACAAAAATCACTAAATGGGTCACCTGGGAAACCTATCTGTGACCAAAAGGATTGTGTTCAAGTACCAGAGGACTGAAATCCAAATCTAGACTGCTTGATTCTTATCCATTTCTTGCCCCAACTCCTGGATAATTCCCTGGGAAAAATAATTGTTTAAATTCTACCTCTGCATAATTCAACCATTTTAAATCCCGTCTCTCATTCAACTCTTTCATTCAAGTGATTTTATTAGGGGTGGAAAAAAAATAGTCCACCTAACACTTAGATGATGAAGTAGGGGCCAAACGCAGCAAAAGCCACCAACTTTTAGACTTTTAGCTCTCCGACATTTCTGCCTCACTTTCCCAGCTATAGCTTCTACTTCCCGCTCATGTGAGAGAGAAAGCAGAATGAGAAACTTGGTGAGAAATTTCACCACTGCCAAGGGATCTGCTTAAAATTACAGTGAGGAACTCCTCACAAGGCCCACACCTCATCCTGTGGCATATGTGCTCACCAGACACTTGTCCTTTCCTGAAACCCACACTGACTACACTGTGACAAAGCCTGGTCAACACTGCCAAGAAGAAGCCTATTCAGATTTTCCCTAAGGAGATACTTTATGTCCCTTAGCAATAGTCTTGGGCTATGTTCCTCTTTCTTCTCACATTCTTTGATCATGTGGTTGGGAGGGAATGACCCTCTTCTAGATGTTGGCTTTTACAACATACAGAATTAGAAAGTAACTAAAACAGTATCGTCAACACACCTGCTGTATCAGAGGTGCCAACCTTCAACACCACCAGTTAGGACAAATGTAAATGTCACTAGTTCAAGGAATTTGGATTAAGAACTTTAACACTAGTCAACTCCTAAAACCTTTGCCCTCAAAGACATTTAAAATTGTAACTTCAACTACCCCAGTGTCCAAATGGAAGAACTACACAGAAGCTAAGGAAATTCCCTTATGCCCCCTTCCCTAGTCTAATGGGGGGGTTCACGGAAGACTGACATGAGGCCTGCTGCTTCCTCCTGTATATGCCCTTTGCAGGTCTTGGCTCGCCAACCTAAAGAACCACAGCCCTTTTAGACATTATCATTACTGGCAACCAACCAATAGGCCAGCAATCTCAGCTGCCCTAGCCAACGTCACGGAGCTGGTTCCCATTCTCTCTAGGGCAGGGGCTGCCTTTGAATGATACACCTGGGCACACAGGGTAGGCAGATCCTTCTGAGGCCACAGAGATGAAGATGACAAAAAATGTGAACCTGCCTGCCTGGCAAGCACAAGGTTCCGAGTTCCAATCCCCAGTACAAAAAACAAACAAACAAACAAAAAAACCAACCACCAAAAAAACTCACTAAAAAATGTGAACCTGCTTAACTGGAAACTCCAGTATTTAAGGGTAACCCTAGGCCATTGCCTCCCCTCTAGTTACATTCCTTGGGAGAAAGCCTATATACCTTATTTCCCTCAACAGCCCAGCTGTGGTTCCTCCCTTTCAGTGCCACAGAATATAACAAGACCTCAGGAATTTGAGGATCCCAAGTGGTACAATATTTAGGAATACAAAATACAAAACCAAACCAAAATAAAACAACAAATAAACAAAAAACCCATACTAAAAACTCAACAAGTAACCAAAGGAAAAATCAAATCAAACAAATGCAATCTCCTTGAATCAAAGAAACCCTGTGAACAGTGTTGCAAAGGCAAATGTACAGCAATTTCCCAAGCTGAAAGCTTCATTTCCTGTCACAAAAGAAGTCGGTGTGGTTCCTTTACCTGAGCTTTCTCCGAGCTGTCCTCTTGGTAACACTTTGGACACTCCCAGCAATTTGGCAATTCCTCATTAAGCAAACCCTCTCCATCCATCTATAGGCAGACAGAGACAATTAAAATGAGTCAGTCTCTTCTGCCTTCATTACACACTAACAGGTAGAAGAAGCTAGAGTTACTTACTTCTAAACACACCGGTCCCCTGGGGAGGAAAAATGGGAGAGCTACTTGGTTTCAGATGACACTAATACCTACTCCCAGGGTGGGAAACTAGCCATCCTCATTCCTGGTTACTTGTCAAATGCAGGCTCCAGGAAGTCTTTCAAGGTTTGGTATGGTGGCACATGCCTGTAATAGCAACACTCAGGAGGCAGAGGCAGGAGGATCACTGAGTTTGAGGGCAGCCCGAACTATAAACTGAGATTCCAACTTAAGCCCCACCCCCACCTTTTTAAAAGAATCTGCATCAATTTGGGTCTCCTCTCCAGATAATATCTTGCCAATTTCGCTAGGCCTGATCTTGGGGAGCTGAATCATTATGACTGTTTGGGTTCAGAGACTAATAATCTAGTGACTGTGAAATGGGGATAAAAACCATGTGTATCTTTTTTTGGGGGGGTACTGGGGCTTGAACTCGGGACCTTGCGCTTGCAAGGCAGGCGGTGAAACCACTGAGCTAAATCCCGGCCCGAAACCATGTGTATCTTACAGGGCTGTAAGGATTAAATCTCTCTTTTTTTTTGAGAGGTTTCACTATGTAGCCCAGGCTGGTCTTCAACTCCTAGCAATCCTGCCTGAGTGTTGGGATTACAGGCATGTTTGCCATCACACTCAGCTAAATCAATTGTGTATTATGTAAAGTGGTTAGAAAAGTAGCATTTGCTTAAATACTTTGTATTAACCATTACCACCATGGAGATAATACTCATCAATTTTAAGAGCCACACTTTTTATAAAGTTAGGCTACTTCTCACAGTTGACCTTATCTATTATCATTGTCAGTTGATAGTCATAAACAGCTGACACTTTCTGGAAAGGCCCCCACCTCCAAAAAAAACCCCCAAAACCAAACCCCAGCACTGACTGATTCATTATTTATTTATTTAATAGATAGGCTCTTGCTATGTTGTTCAAGCTGTTTTTTTGGTACTGGGGATCGAACTCGGGCCCTTGCACTTGTGAGGCAGGCAGAGGAACCTCTGAGCCAAATCCCTGGCCCTGCTCAAGCTGGTCTTAAACCTGTGGGTTCAAATGATCTTCACACTCTGGAATAATTGAGATTATAAGCATACACCATCATATCCAGTCACCCATGTGACTTTTAATCTTGAAGATTAAAAAGAAAGTGCATGTAAAATAGTAGTTCTGCCCTGGCTATTCCATCTTTGAGTTTGAGGGCTGCACTTCTTTACTACTTTTTTTTTTTGAGATAGGGTCTTGCACTGAACTCACTACATAGCCCCCAGGCTGGTCTCTAACTCTGTCTCAGCCTCCTGAGAGCTGGGATTATAGGCTACCATGCCCAGGCCCTTCCTTACTACTTTTTTTGGGTGTGTGTGTGTGTGTGTATTGGGGGGTAACAGGGATAGAACTCAGGACCTTATAGTTGCGAAGCAGGTGTGGTGCCGCTAAGCTAAATCCCCAGCCCACTGGTGTATGTGTGTGTGTGGTTTTTTGAGACAGAATCTCACTATATAGTGTAGAATTCACAGCAATCCTCCTTCCTCAGCCTCTCAAGTGCTAGGATTATAGGTGTATGACACCATGCTATTCCTTACTACTTTTTAAAAGTTCAGCTGTGCACTAAACCTGATACAGATTGAGGACTCCTTGAATGCTAAATGTTAAGACCATCCACTATGTTACTATGAAGCTGAGGGTCCACTGTAGGGATGATGGCAGTCTTCTGTGACAAGTATCCCACCCTTCTACTGATCTAGCATCTGAGACTCTCCTCACCTGAAGACAGCCAGGATGAACAATCTCATTGCAGATACAGCATTCCATAAGTTTCTTCTCAAAGTCTTGTGTCTCTTCATTCTGATCCACCTCTCCACAGAGGGAACACGTGACTGAGTGAGGCAGTCTGGGCTACAAAAGGACAAAGACAGAAACTAAGAGAATAGATTTAAATCTTTTATCATTTCAGCTTCTCTTTAAAGACAGGAGATTTGGTTCTTATAATTTTCTACTAAATATGTGGGGAGCACTGAGATAAGTTAGAGAGAAGATGGGGATTTGGTAGAAACCAAAGGAGGATGAGAGGACTCAAACTGCTTGAGAACCAGAAACCAAAAGAAACATGTTCACTTTGAGTTGGCTTGTTCTTAGGCTCACAAGTCCTTCTAGTCCACTTAAAGAAGGGATGGAAAGTAAGTGGCTTGTCCTTCAAATGCTAGTCTCCTGTTTGAAAATTAGATGAGTAAGGCCAAAAGTTTAGAATGTTTTTAGAACTAGATACTTTTTGTTTTGTTTTGTTTTGAGACAGGATCTCATTATGTAGTTGAGACTGACCTGGAACTCACTATGTAGCTCAGGCTGGTCTCGAACTCACAGCAATCCTCCTGCCTCAGCCTCCCGAGTGCTGGGATTACAGGCGTGCGCCACCACACCCGGCTACTTGTTTGTTTTTGAATTAGACACTTTCTTGATGAATCCAGAGAGAGAAGGACAAAATGAAGAAAGTTAAAAAAAAGCATAACTTCTCAGCTCTGCAGTCTCTGGTTCAATTCCACTTGTATTCCAGGCTCCCTCTGACACCCACACCCCTCCCCCGACATTTCTACCCAGCAGATCACTCACTGCCAAGCACTGTCGGAGGACACAGGACTGTTTCATACGTCCAGGTCCTCCAAACTTCTTCATGTCCCTGCAGTAGTGGCAAACACCGCACTCTCCTTGCACACAGGCTTTGCATTTCCGACAGCGCACTCGTCTTCGCCTGGCACCTGACACAATGGGAGAGGCAGCTGCGGGCCTCACAGGTGTTAGCCGTGGAGCTGGCTTCATAGTGTGAGGCTTTGTGATAGGGATGGCTGGAACCCGCACCTTTGGCCGGGTGGGGAATTTAAGCTGGAAAAAGAAAGCAGTGAGGTCAACCCTATCAAATTGCCTTAAAACTGCAGAAGGTAGAAGATTACATGGCAGTATACCTAGCTCAAAACTCTGCAAACACTATGTCTTGTGGGCAAATCTGCTCACTGGCTGTTTTTATAAATAAATTTTACTAGAACATAACCATGCTCATTTATGTATTGTGTATGGCTGCATTTATATTGTAATGGTAGAACTGAGAAGCCATGGTTGAGTGGCATACCAAATCTAAAATATTTACCATCTCAATCTTCACAGAAAAATTTGCCAGTTCCTATCCTAGTCCTTCAGTCTACTATTTCAGCCACATCCTTTTCATTTTGCAGAACTACAAGATTTGTCCATCCCTGAAGATTTCTGGGTAAGTGTCATATACACAAGTCATCCCAGGGGCCCTCTAGTATTTCCTTATACTGACTACTCAGAATATTCTCCAAATTAAGTAGGACAGCAGATTACTCAAGGGTCAAACTAGTCTTGTTCATTTCTTTACCACTCTGAATCCCAGCAAACAAGCTGGTACATAGCAGATACTCCAATTAACATGTAAGTATGGAATAAATTGCTCAGGTATGTTTATAATTTCAGCATTTGCATTTACCTAGCTAGTGACCTTTTCAAGGACAAGGATATTTTCTACTTCTTCAATTTCCTACCAGGTATTAAAAGACTCTTCTGACACAAAATACTAAACAACCAGAAATCACTGAACTGTTCTGAGGCAGTCCTATGTGGCTAAATGGGACTCTGCCACCTATGAAGAACGGGTAAGTGGTCCTACTCTGGTTAACCACCCATGGAATGTAATGGCTTTGCCAGTGCCAGCTAGTAAACACCAAAGAATGGCCTAATTCACCTACTAAATTAATGTCTAGGATCAGAATGCTATCATTAACCATGAAAGGACAATGTGCTAAAAATTCATAGGAAACATGAAGATTCATAACTGACAATTAGCAGATGGTAATTCTTTTCTTCTCTTTTCAATTCTATACTGAAAAGTCCCAATTAAGGGGAATCCTCAGTAGGGTCCCATTATAGTAAAGAAAACTCTCATCTTTTAAATATATATGAACTTATTTTAACTACTTTAAAAAATATTTGTGAAGTTAACTGAGTCACTGGGTCAAAAGCATAGGAACTGATCATTTTGGTCACAAATGCACAACTCTGCATCTGAACCTAAAGTGACACATTGCAGTATGAGAATTCTGTTAAGATAATCACTTCTAAAGATAGTTACCTCCAAAGACAGGCAATTACCCGGACCTAGGAGTTAGGACAAAACTGAGTAGTGATTTTCTGTCAGTTTGTATTAAAGTACCAAAAGCTGTATAGTTGTTCTTTTCTTCCTGGAATGGTAATGACCAGCTAGCACAAAGCTTAAGCAGTTTGAAGATCAAGCAGAAAAGAGTTTCTTACCTTATCCCTTTTTGGCCACTGTACTATAGGGACTCCAGTAAGGGCTAACTTGGGATCACTACTGGCAAGCTCTTCCAGCAAAATCTAAGGGTAGGATGACAGAGAAGGAAAAAGCAAGATGTGATAAGCACAGCGCCAATTACTCCCAGAAGCAGCCAATCACTTAGTCTCAGTGCCCTCAAAAGCACCAAAGGAAAGAACAGGTTGGCAACTGTCTTTATATTTAAAAACGAGGAAATCAAAGATGAAAGAGAAAACTCACAACTATTATAGTTATATCAAGACTTCAAACTTACCTTTGCACCCAACTCTTTTCTTGTGTACTCAGGCTAACATTTACACTAAAGCAACTAGCTCATGCGGCAACAAAGTATTACTTATGTAGTTCTATATATTACAGTAAAACTTTATATTGTCTCTTCAAGTGTTGCCTTCATTTTGCAGATGGGAGCAACAGTGCATCAAAGTGACTGGCTAATAATGCTGAATAAGATGAGTAGCAGACCTTTTGTTTGTTTCTTGTAGTGCTGAGGATTGAACCCAGAGCTTCACATGTGCCAGGCAAGTGCTCTACCACTGAGCTACACTCCCAGCACTAGAACTTTAATGTTCTGATTTGACACAGAATTCTGTTTTACTACAGCTGCTTACAAAATCAATCCCCCCCCCCACACAGAGTCAGCTATTTGCCTTTATTCCTAATAATGGAGCAGTACAGTCTTAGTCTTGGAAGCAATACTTATGGCTTTAAAAACTAAACAAATTTGAGTGACTTAGGAACAATGCTACAGAAAGTAACTGCCACTCAAGTTAATCATCATAATTTTGAAACAAATCTTTCATTATTTCGACAGAAATTTATGAAGCCCAAACCTTCTAGCAGAATGAAAGTCTCCTTCCTCTGACCTCACAGGCCCTAAAGCAACGCCACAGCAAAAGAATGCAAATCTGGGGGACAAGTTACACTTGGCTTATGTGTACAGGATAGGAACTATTTCAGCAGACTAAACTTTGACCTAGACAGGTCAGCATGCCCAGGCCTTCTTTAATAATCATTTTCATAATCACGACTTTTAGTTATTTTTATTTTTAAGGATCATGTTCCAAATCCCAGAGTAGGCCTCAAAAAAACCCTGCAACATCCCAAGAAACTCCCCTATGAACACAGTCCTCTACCAAGTTTCTAGATGCCTCACACCTTCCTTCAAACTGATCTGCAAAGTTTTATTTACTTCAAGTTGCTATGGCATCCTATTCTGGAGCCTCCTGTTAGCACTACACTGCATAGGGGTGAAGAGGTGGGGTGTGGTGCCACGTGGGACAAGGCTCTGGTCAGGGTTTCTAATCTTTCCAAGGTGAAAAATATGGGTCCATTCAAAATGTGCACTAGAGAGTGCGCTGCTCCCCTCCCCCACTTCACACTGCTAAAGAGTAGGACTCTGCCCATTTCCTTTGCCGGAGAGAACTGAGCTGTCCACAAACTGGGACTTTCCACTTTCAGCAAAAGAAAAAAAAAAAAAAAAAAACTGCATAGAAAGATCTGTGATTGTTTAAAAGAGTAGAAAAGGAACTTAACTGTTCACCAAAAGCAGTCTAATTCTACCTTAAGACTTTTGTGGGTGCCACAGGGAAGGGTAGGCGGTGAAACTGTAGGTGGTGTGTGTGTTGGGGGCAGCTGTTCACACATACATGGCTCTGTTACAGGGGTATGTGTGGGTGTGGAGGGAAATGCAGATTTCCTTCCAAGCCTTATTTCGCTGGGGCCGTTCAACGAAGCACGCCCTGCTTTCATCAAAAAAGGCAGAGTCCAGCTGAGGCCCTACAAGAACCATATAAAGAAGCCACCACCCCTCACTAGAGGGGGCTTGGGATAGGGGAGCGGAGGTGGAGTACGGAAAGGCTGATGCCTATCTAGGCTCCAGGCATTTAGGAGAACATTCAAATACAGGCCCACACCCCACAGATCAGAGGAAGAGAGAACTGAAGCATCTAGGCAGCAGGAAAAAGCGTTCTCAAAAGCAAAGCAACCCAGTTCCAAAGCATATCCCACCAGTGAGGGAACAAATACAATGATGGCTCAAGCAATACCAAGTAACACAAGCATTGTCCTGGACTCGCCTGTCAGAAAGCTCTTCTGCCTCTTTGCTGAGACAAAGTCTCTACAGTAATACACACCCCAAAGCAGAATGCGTTTGCCAGCCTGACCTTGCGTTTCTCGTCGCTCTGGAGCTGCCGAGGCTCTTGGGTGAAGTTTCCCCACCGTCTTTGTTTTGTTTTCTGTGTTGGAAGTTGTGCGGAAGGAGTTAGGTTTTCAGCCTCTAGGAAAATCCCGATTTACTTGAAAATTCAGAAATCTCCCAGAGCACATAAGGTAGGGCAGTCGGCTCTAACCCTTTAGGGTATCCAGAGAGCAGCCTGCAGCGATCTACACTCCTTCTCGAGCCCTTCAGCTCAGCCGTGGCTTCCTGTGCCTGTGAACAATGCTGCTGCGTCACCCACATGCAGCTCCCAGAAATGCTTTGCAACGGAAGATGGCAGGAGGGGGAGCTGAGCTCGAGCGAGCTAGCCAGGCAGAGGGCCCGGCCGTTCTGCTGCAGCGCCGGGAGGGGGTGTGTTCAGCTTCAGCTCTTCTCCTTGTCATTGGAGGAGGCACTGCCAGGAAGGAAGCCTGGCCCGCCCCATCTCCCTCCCTCCACCACCGCAACAGGAGAACTCGGGGCCAGCCCCTAAGGGTTCCCGTGGCTGACTTCAGAAGGCGCCAGCAGAAGGGAAAGCTTTAAACCATTCTGCCTACAGATTGGACATTTGTCCTTGTCTCAGTCCACGCCCTTCCCTTCAGGGTCACTTTCTGTCAGACCTATCTCGTTGACTACACACACACACACACACACACACACACACGCCCTCTCTTGGCAGACACTTTGGGATTGCCTCAAATCTGGACACTGAGGAGGAACCAAGAAGCAGGCTGAGCTCCTCCCAAGTTATCTTCTTTCATACTGTCTGCTTGCTTCACCTACCTACTCAGGTTCATGTAGCTTCCAGTCCATGATCCAGAACCATCATGTTTTTCCAGAAAAGAAAAAAGCTTTCAGAAATAACACATTCCAGTCAACACCAAGAATACTCAATAAAATATAGCAGTTTTCCATCAACTACACGGATGCCTGTTTCTAATTCCCACTAGAAACCAGAAACATTTTAGAAATGTCTGTGCAGCAATCTATTAGCAGTTCTATCATGATCAAGTCAAACAAATGAGGCATAATCTAAGGTCAAAGAACTTTGCCCTCCTGACTCTAACTAAGGTACAGGAAGCTTGGGAACTGGCTTTCTCCCAATTCCACCAGTCTCCTCTGCCCATCAGAATGCTCCATGCTCTGGATATCACTCCCCGAATACAATTTTGCTGTACTGAAGAGTGAACCTGGACTTCCCAAACGCTAGGGAAGTGTTCTATCACTGCCCTCATTCTTGCTAGTCCCACAAAGGAAACACCCAGCCCTGCATGCTATTAGACACCTCAATGCCACTTGCTGACAACCATTTGACCAACATGTGTCACCTACATTTCCATGTATTCAGGTCTTGGGCAGGATGAAGTTCAGACAACCCACTCTCTCTCTGGGTTACAGGAGAAAGGGAAGGCTAGGATTCCAGAGATCTACATGCACTGTACATCAGCATGGGGACAAGCTGGGCAGGAACAGAAGCCTACATAGCAGCAGCTTGGATCCACATTTGATGATCCAATTTTCAGACCCTCACAACTGCAAACTTGGCTTTTTGGGAAATTACTAGTAATTCTTTGACATAAACATCTAGCTGTCACTACTGAAGCCTGTTTCCAGTACAGCTGTTTCAGTTAAGTTTCTGGAATAGACTCAGTGGCTTAATAGGCTTTCTGAGGTCTGTGGCTTTGCTGCCCTATATCTGTATTTTTCTGTCCATATACTGAGAACTCCCTTTTTTTTTTTTTAAAGTTGGGTCAAATGGATTTTTTTTTGAGACAGAGTCTCACTAGGCAGTTCAGGCTGTCCTCAAACTCTCAGTGATCCTCCTGCCTCAGAAGGGATTACAGGTGTGCACGTCCATGCCCGGAATGTATTTTTACTTTTTTTTTTTTTTAGACAGGGTCTCACTATGTAGTTGAGACTGGAACTCACTATGTAGGCCAGACTGGTCTCCAACTCACAGCGATTCTCCTGCCTCAGCCGCTCAAGTGCTGGGATTACAGGCATGCACCACGACGCCCAGCCATATTTTTACTTTTTTGAAGAGTATCCATACTGTTTTCCAGAGTGGTTGTACTAGTTTACATTCCCAACAACACAGAAGGATTCCTTTTCCCCCACAGCCTCCCATTATTTGATTTTTTTTTTTTTTTTTTTTTTTTTTTTTTTTTGGTACCAGGGATCGAACTCCGGTCCTTGTGCTTGTGAGGCAGGCAACAGAACCACTGAGCTAAATCCCCGGCCCTGTTTGATTTCTTGATGGCCATTTCCCCCAGTATCAGGAATTAAACCCAGAGTGTTCACAAATGCTAGGACCTACCCCACTTCCCCTTGAGACAGGGTGTCACTAAATCACCCAAGCTAGGTTTGAACTCACAATTCCCCTGCCTTAGCCTCATAGAGTACTGGGATTGCAGGCATGCACCACCTGGACTGCTTTTTTTATTCTTTCTGAGATGAAGTCTTGCTGTGTTCCCTGGCTGGCATCAAAATCTTGGGCTCAAACAAACAGTAGCAGGGACTATCTACTCGCCTGTGCTACATATGGGTCTGCATATGTTAATTTTTACAGCAGTTTACTAAGGGAGGGACTTTTGTGCTTTTGATTGGTACTCTTAGTTGATATGGATATCCTAACCCTAAGCTTGCCCCTTACACTGTAGGACTTAAAGACCCAGTGCAGTTTATTTTGTTTGAAAAGCTTTCCTTTATAGTGATATGGGGCTAATAATAGGTCCCAGAAAATGCAATTATTTGGTCCTCAGTGGTATTCTAACCTGGAGGGATGATAAAAGTACAAATACTTAAAAACACATCATTCCAAAATAATTCTAGAGGCCTAGTGATACC